TTCAGCACTTGAAAGATAACCAAACTTTCTATTTGTGTTTCCTCCAGTACAAAAAGTTACTGAACTGTCTAGCTTACATTTGATTTGGGACTAGTCTGATGCACTCTCTGACTGGGGCACAATGTTATCCTATTTAGTAGGTCCATTTTCCTGATTTCTATTCAGGACCAGTAGGAAGCACATGACACACAGCAAATTCAAATGTCCAGAAACCTGTTTTTATTTGATCTGAACACTGTTTTCTGCATGGAAATAGATATCTTTATGGCAGCTAGACAGGGTCTGTCCACTGTCAAAACACTTATCCAAAATGAAATGGTATCCTAGGTAAGGTTTTTCTTTATTTTTTACTTCTCCAAGAAGTTACTGAAGAACTGTTTTGCCAAGCAACTCTTGCACAAGGTCATGCAAGTTGCAAGTGATAGTTTTCAGTCCTTTGCATTTTGTGACTGTGGCATGTCACTGGCGTGTCTGGCAGTGTCAGTTGTCTTGATAGTGTCTGATGTGCACACCCTCATCTGTTTGAAGATGTCTGTAAAAGAACTCGAGAGGCTTTGCCCATTGTCATTCCGACTTCAACCTTCATAAAGTTACCCCATACGCCTGTTCAGGACACTCCTCCATAAAAGGACACTAAGCAATCCAGTGCATCATCATCGTCGGACTGCTCTGGAGTATCTAAATTTGATTGCTGAGAGGTTACATGCACCAGTGCCAATTCATTCTGCTTAGTACCCTTTATTTTTGGTGTCCTCCCTAAAGAAAGAAACATCAATTAAATTAACCTGAACAAATAAAAGTTCCAAGTGTTAGATGTCAACACTAAGTCTGCAAAGTGTTGTAACCATACATATTATTATAGTGTGGATGCAGCAATTTAGACCCCTATTGCAAATAAGAAAGTAATCTGTCCATGTCAGTTGCCATCTCCATGCAGATATTACCTCAATTATGGCTAAACACACTATCCTTCCTTGACGGTAGAAACTGCATGTTCATGGAGGAGGCTTTTTCCATTGCAGGGTTACCCCAAACATTACCACTTCACACCTGTAGAGAGGCATTGAGTGCAAGTTGTCTTGCCCAGGAACACAGTGCAAGAAGACAACTTGCCTGGGCGAGACATTTCAGTTTTACAATGCCTTCTTATCAGGTGTAGAAATGGAAATGTTTGGGGGTAACCTTACAACGGCATTCCCAGTGTAGTAGTAGAATGCTCTCTTTCTGTGAATTAAACCAGAGATAAGCATGGATGTTATAGGCCACTAGCCCATAGTAGTAGTATGATTGTACCTGTTTTCTGAAGAGTGCAGTTACTACATGTATCATCACATTCACTCAACAACTGCCTCAGATTTTCAAAAAATCTGAAACAAAAAACCACAGGCATTGAATTACTAAAAACACCACACAAATCTGACATATTTAGAAGAATCGCAAAAGTATTAACCCTTGAGACAATAATTATCAGGATGCACTTTTTTCCACATCGTTCTCCATACGTTTACTAAACTGTGGTACTGGTGAGGACTAGTTGTCATAATCAATGCTATTGACACCATTTTACTCTGAGATCATATCCTTTATTCTCATGAACTTAAAGTGAATTATTTTAAGGAGAAATAAGATAAAAGAGGTAAAAACTTTCTCTGGTAAAATTGTTTAAAGTTGTGAGCTTTCAACAGCCAGTCTGCTGTCTTCGACGGACAAAAATGAAATGATAAAAAATGTGCCATTAGATTGGAACGTAGTGTTAATGCGATCAATTTCACGTGGCTACCCACAAAAAGTCACTGCTGATATCATAAGAAAGAAATCTTCGACTCCTCCAACACCTTCACCTGAAGAACTAGTTGGGATGTTCTTCAGTTGGGCTGACCCAACCGAGCCTCTTTCTAGAATTCTCAAAAGTCATGATATTCGAGTAACCAACAAACCAATCAAAACACTACAACAAGAGTTCCCTGTTCCCAAGTTTCGANCCGAAAAGTTTCCGGGGCTTTCGAGAAACGGGCCCCCTGGATTCAGGCTCGGGTGCAATTTAAATCATTGCACATTGCTATTTCCTTTGCTGTGGCCATAAAATACACGAAAGACGCGTACGGTGAAGCCTCCGGGAAGCCCCGAAATTTGTGTTCTTTCCCCGCTGCCATTTTGTTCAGCCCATTTTCCCGTGGGTTCGTGAACTCATTCCAGGCTTCACAATTTGCTCAGCGGAATAATAGATACAAACAACAATTAACGGACTAAAGCTATGTCTTCCATAGCCAGATTGAGCCACGAATGGAAGGTAAGAACTTTCCTTCTTACCATTGGCATTTCCTTACGCTGAAAACAACTTTTAGGCATTTTTTTTGGGAAGGGGAGGGGTGGGGGGTTGGGGTGTTAAAAACGCGAGTCTGTTGCATTTGCGCAGTGTAACACTCGAAAAATCACCGACACAAGTCTGAATCTATTAGACAATCCATAAGTGAAATCTTTATTTATTATTTTTACACTATTTTAGGGTGGTCCGTAGAGGGGGTCCGTAGGGGTAGTCCATGGACTGGTCCGTAGGGTAGTCTGCGGACCCGGTCCGTTGTGAGGGTCCGCGGACCGGGGGTCAGTGTTTTTGGGTCACCCCTATTTTATCATTTCATTTTTGTCCGTCAAAGACAGCAGACTGGCTGTTGAAAGCTCACAACTTTAAACAATTTTACCAGAGAACGTTTTTTACGTCTTTTATAATGAATCCTGGTATCGGATCTTCAATATTTTGAGAAATAAAATGCTCGTCACTCTTAGGGGTTACTAACTAGGCTGCGATCAGGCGTTCTTTACCATTAAAATAAGTATACATACGTCATTCAGAGGGTTTGAACGCAAGTTCAAGCCAGAAAGTGATAGTTTTTAATAAACGGAAACTAGTTAAGGTAAGAGACTACTGATAAAGAATGCACCTGTTTATCCTTGTTTGATTTTCCTCAAGTTTCTTGTTGGCAGCATTCACCAGGAACTCAATATACTGAATGTAAGAAACAACGTAGTAAGGGGTCTCATTACTTTGCAGGGTTCATACAGGTCATGGAAAACCTGGAAAGTCATGGAATTTGTTATTTGAATTTCCAGGCCTGGAAAGTGATGGAATTTAAGTGAAGGTCATGGAAAGTCATGGAAAGTCATGGAAAAGCAATATGCTTGGCAAAAAGTTAAATAAAAAATTGAAAAGATAACAGAAGAATCAGAAACAGGATTTAATTTCAGTAGAAATAGACACAAGCACACATAAAAAGCATTATAATGCTGGAAAATATGTTAAATAAATGATTGTTTTGATACTACTGTGAGAATTAAACTGCTTACCTTTGGTCATGGAAAACGCAGAAAAGTCATGGAAAAGGTCACAGAAAGTCATGGAATTTTAAAAGCTTCAAAGAGTATGAACCCTGCTTTGTTTATACAGTGAAACCTCTATCAAGCGGACACCCTTGGGACCTTCCCAAGTGTCTGCTTAATAGAGGGTGTCTGCTTAATAAAGGTTTATAACAATTGCACAATGTTTGTTAACAATTAACATTCAACCCCTCTGTACTGTAATAAAGTTCCAGGTTGTTAACGAAGCTATCCAGAGTTCAAGTTCATCAGCTTTCATTACCAACTTTAACTTGTTTGTAGTAATGCCCTTTCCATAAAGCAACGATAATAACGGTACATTTAATCAACTATTTCAAGGATGTAATCATGGCACATTGTCAATTCAGTCTGGTGTCCGCTTAATAGAGGTTTTTAACACTAGAAATTAGCCAAATACAATTTATTTTAGTGTCCGTGTCCACTTAATAGAGGTGTCTGCTGAATAGGGGTTTGTTATAAAAGGAAATATAACACGTTAATTTCCGGACCAGGCTAAGTGTCTGCTTAAAGGATGTCTGCTTAATTGGGGGTCTGCTTAAAATAGGTTTCACTTGTCTTGCAAAAACAAAATCAGTGACAACATTTCTCTTCACACAAGTTAAAATTTATTTAAGCGCTAAAATGTGATCAGTTGTAGAAAGTGATATAACAAAGAAAGTAGAAATTGTCGGGGGGGTACTCCTATACAAGGAGATGCTCTGCCCAAAAGAGGTATCTTTTACAGGCTTCAGGTAATTAAAAAGGTAGGGATTTTACAACTTGAGGTATCTGAAAGGGTACTAGGGAAATCTGTCATTTAGGTATTTAAAAGCAACTTCAGTTAAAATACCTTGAGCAGATGCACCTTACAGCTGTATCATTCATTCAATTTATTAATAAGCTCTACATCATTAACTTCGTTTCAATGGTTTAGAAAAGAGATTTAATGTTTTAAAGTAGGTATGTGAAAAGAGTACCTGTTTTCAATAAAAGTATACAAAAGGGGTAACTTTTCTGTCAAAATGGTATACAAAAGGGTAAGGGGTTGGACCTTGGGATGGAGCCTCCCTGTATAAAAATTTGCAGAGTAACCCCCCCCCCCCCCCCCCC